AAGTTTATTGTTTAGAGGCTGCATGGTCTCTAGTATCCTGTTAGAGCAGCTCCAATGGATTAAAGCTGGGATCCTGAAGTCATGCAGACCAAGCAGCATCCCCTGCTCTGCCAGAAAGCCTTGAATAGCAGCTGCTACCAGGGCCCCTCCTGGTTGCCATTGCTCCCATCTGCCTGCTTTTCAGCACAGTGCTGGCCCAAAGTAGGTGCTCAGTGGGATTATGCACTGGATTTCTGGTTCCAAAAGCTTTCTGATGTGCCTCTGTCTTTTTTGTTTGGCAACTCTCTGGGCCGCCCATCTGATGACTTTGATATAGTTTCTAACACAGGAAGTGTATCTCCTGGCTCCTCAGCCTGTATGTACCCTATGGCCACCTGTGAGATGCTCCCCACTCCATCCCCAGAAATACAACCCTCCCCCACTAGCCAGACCAGTCCTTGGCCCTTCATGAAGGGATATGTGGAATTCAGACAAAACATATGGTGTTTGCCCAGCATCTTGCTGTTTTTATTTATGTTTTTAAATAACTTGTTTTTCTTATTATTACAAAACAGCACATGTTTGAAAAAATTTGGAAAAGCCAGGCAAGCAAAAAATGAAGTACAAATCGTTCAAAAATCCCTCACTCTTAAGAAAATCACCGTTTAATGTTCCTAGTAACACACACACACACACACACACACACACATCTTTAGAAAAACAGGTCAAACTCTACTTAGTGATTTGTAACCTGCTTTTTCACTTAACCCATGTCTCACTGCCTTAAATGGTCATCTTGTACTATTATTTGCACTATTATTTATCTCCACTCCATGTGTCCACTTCGGCTGCCATTAATTCCTTACTGTTTTTACAAATTGAGCAATATAAATTACAACAGACTAAATCAATTAGCAATGTGAAGGACTTTTCCAGCTCACTGGTGCAGTGGGAATCTGTCCTTTGACCAGTGGTGTCTGCTCAGAAACAAACCCTACATTTTATAAAATGTTTGTTTCATCAAGAGCTCCAGGGCTCAGGCTGTAACAGAAACAAAGAGTTTATGAAGCAGCCATACCCTTAAAACAGCTACAGTTTCTATGAAACTGGAAAATTCCACTGCCACAGCCAATGTCAACAGCACAGGCAAGAAAGGAATGTAGAAATTCAAAGGAAGGGAAGAATTTGATTAACAGAGACTATGGGGTAACTGGCAAAATGCTACGAACATTACCTGCTTCCAGAATTGCGGTCCACAAATCAGAGTACAGACATTTGCCTTCCTCGAAAAGAGTAAGGTCATAGGTATGTAATGCATGCTTGCAGAGAAAATAAAGTTAGTATAGTTGTGGCAGTATCATATCTGGCTAACAGCATCCCAGGTAGCCCCGCAGCTCTGCCTTGAGGATTGTCTTGCAGTGCTTCTTGGGCAAGTGCCCAAATATCAACATCCAGGGCCAACAGGGATTCCTGTTGATGCTAAGTCTCAGAATGGAGGATTGCGATGGCCACTGGAGAGGGGGAGTGGGGACTTGCAGGGAGGGTAACAAAATTCAGACTGAGAGAGGTGGGGCTTGCAGGTCATTCAAGGAGAAACTGCATGCAGATGTGGTCTCCATTCATCCTTCTCACTACCATGATGGCAGAGCCTCTAAGTTGGGCTCCCCTGTTCCTGATATATCTATATGACTCATTCACCAGAAGGCCACCCCAGGTTATTTTAAATAACCTTTCTAATTATATGATATCTGCATTCGAACCCCAGAACAGAAAATAAAAACCATTAGAATGTTCTTTTCCACTATTTACAGAAAGCAAAGAATACCTATACGTTGCTTAATAGAACCAAAAGGTCCATAATGATAAGCATTAGTCATTTGATTTTTCCCACCAAAGGGAACTGCTAATCTGCCCCATACTTTTCTGAATATGTCTTTATTTTTCTCACCAAATTTTATAAAATTTACCAGTTATATTCTAATTTCCTCAGTTGCTGTTGAGAATTCCAATACCATCCTGGGAATTCTTTAAAATTCGTTTTTCTGTATACTCAATGGGACCTTTTAAATCCGGCATTTATATTCTTCAGTTCTGGGAAATTTTTGAATTATTTGGTTAATAACCTTTTTCCTTTTAATTTACTTGCTTTTCTTTTACTGGTAGGATTGCCAAATAAAATACAGGAAGTCCAGTAATGTTTCAATTTCAGATAATCATAAAATAATTTTTATTATGGCCAAGATCCTTGCAATATTTTTTGGTGTGAATATGTTCTATGTAATATTTGGGGCACATTTAAATAATTTTTAATTTTTTTATCCAAAATTCTGAAATTCAAATTTAAGTGGGTGTTCTGTGTTCTTGTTTACTAAATATGATCAACCTATTTACTAAAATTCTTGTTAATAGGTATTGAACCTACTAGGCTCTAATTTTTTTTCCTATCACATTTCATTGTTTTCTTATCCATTCTTTTTCAATTTTCTGGAAGATTTTATTAACTTTATTTTCCAGATTTTTATTAAGTTTTTTCTACCTGGTTTGAATTTCTAAGAGATGTTTCTTGTTCTGTGGGTGTTCTCATAAATTACATACTGTTCTTGTTTTAAAGATATAATGTCTTCCTATCTCTTTTCAGAGTTTTCCCTCTCTGTTCTTTGAACTCTTTTTCTTCTGAGACATTTTAATTCCATTTGTTTTGTTGGTCTTTTTTTTTATGTTGGGCTTTCCTTAAATGTCAGATAATTCTTGGTCATCTTTATAAAGACTGGGGTCTGGGGATGTAGCTTAGCAATAAAGCACTTGTCTAGCATGGACAAGAGCACTTGTCTTGCAGGATTCAATCCTGAGAACCTGCACACACAAAAATAAATGAATGAATGAATGAATGAATGAATGAATAAAAAAATAAATAAATAATGAGGCAGTAAAAAAACTATGGGAACATGTATTGATTGGATTATTTGATTTTTTGGTGTTAAGTTTCTTGAGTTCTTTATATATCCTGGAGATTAGTGCTCTATCTGATGTGCGTGTGGTAAAAATTTGCTCCCATTCTGAAAGCTCTCTCTTCACTTCACTGATTGTTCTTTTGCTGAGAAGAAGCTTTTCGGCTTGAATCCATCCCATTTATTGATTCTTGATTTTATTTTTTATGCTATAAGTTGTCTTATTAAGGAAGTCAGTTCCTAATCTGACATGATGAAGATTTGGGCCTACTGTTTCTTCTATTAAGCACAGGGTCCCTGGTCTAATTCCTAGGTCCTTAACCCACTTTGAATTGAGTTTTGTGCATGGTGAGAGTTTTGTGCATAGTTTTATTTTGCTGCATATGGATTCCAGTTTTCCCAGAACCATTTGTTGAAGAGGCTATCTTTTCTCCAATGTGTTTTTGGCACCTTTGTCTAGTATGAGATAACTGAATTTATGTGGGTTTATCTATGTGTCCTCTATTCTGTACCATTAGTCTACAAGTCTATTTTGGTGCCCATACCATGGTGTTTTGTTACTATTGCTCTCTAGTATTGTTTAAGATCTGGTACAGTGATGCCACCTGCTTCACTCTTCTTGCTTGCTAAGGATTGTTAATGGGCCAAGTAAATGAACAGACACTTCTCAGAATATGATATACAATTAATCAGCAAATATATGAAAAAATGCTCAACATCTCTAGAAAATTAGAGAAATGCAAATCAAAACTACTCTTAAGATTTTTATCTCACTCCAGTCATAATGGCAGCTATTAAGAATACAAATGACAATAAATGTTGGCGAGGATGTGGGGGAAAAGGCATTCTCATCCATTGCTGGTGGGACTGCAAATTGGTGAAAACACTATGGAAAGCAGCATGGAGATTCCTTAGAAAACTGGAATGGAGCCATCACTTAACCCAGCTATCCCACTCCTCCGTTTATACCCAGAGTACTTAAAAACAGCATACTACAGTGATTTATAGCAGCCCAATTCACAATAGCTAAACTGTGGAACCAAATTAGATGCCCTTCAATAGATGAATGGATAAAGAAACTGGTATATATACACAATGGAATATTACTCAGTATTAAAAGAGAATAAAATCATGACATTTGCAGGTAAATGGATGGAGTTTGAGAATATCATGCTCAGTGAAGTAAACCAATCCCAAAAAAACAAAGGCTGAATGTTTTCTCTGATATTTGGATGCTGATCCATAATGGGGATGGGGGTGAGGGAGCATGGGAGGAATGGAGGAACTTTAGAAGGGCAAAAGGGAGGGAAAGGAAGGGAGGAGGCATGGGAGTAGGAAAGATGGTGGAATGAGATGGACATCATTACCCTAAGTACATACATGAAGACACAAATTGTGTGACTCTATTTTGTGTACGACCAGAGACATGAAAAATTATGGTCTATATGTGTACTATGAATTGAAATGCATTCTGCTGTCATGTATAACAAATTAGGATTAAATAAAAAAAATTAAAAATAAAAACTATAGGAACCTCTGAGGAATAGGGAGTGGAGGGACTGTCTTTCACTAGATTGGGTGAGGAGCTTAAAATCTCACTGGGGAAACAGGATCCCAAAAATCAATTTGTAGAGGTCTCTGGGAACTCTGTGGCATATCTAAAAGATTGAGCTATAACTTGGAGAGAATATCTGCAACCGACATATATATCATCATCCATCACCGCAAGATGTGTTTTATGTGCCAGTCATACCCGTTATCTCGTCTCCACACAACATAAACTTCCAGGTCTTTATTTCTGGAATGCCTTCTCCTTTTTTCTTCACTGTACAAAATCCTACTCATTTTTTTAAAGTCCAGATATGTAGTAGCATGCTTCTATCTTCCTCTTAGGTAAGCTTAATTCTTCTCCAACTATCCCCCCCACCCCAACCAGAGTCATTAATTTGTTTCTGCTTCATGTTTTCATTATTTCTTGTTTGTATCTTTACCAAAATATGACCTCAAGTAAAATGATCTCCAGGAAGTCCTGAAAACAGAAACTTTATTTCATAATGAAAATGAGTTCTCCATAGAGTAGATTTAAATACAAATATTGATATGAATATTGTTTCTTAAAATTACTAAAATACAGGAAATACAGCCTATACCTCAGCACAAGGAGTTTCAGGAAGAAGAAAAGGTATTTGAGGGCTATCAAAATATACCAGTACTATAATTTTGTTTATGCAGGTGGAAGTGTCCAATCTATGTGCAAACATCTCCATGGGGACAGGAAGACAGAATGGGAACTTTGAGTTCTGATATGATACAATTATTCCATAGATACTTTCTGGTACTTAGCTTTCAAGATCCAAGAAAGGGCTTCAGACTGAAAGAAATATATAGCACATGACAGTTTGGAACTATTGCTGATTTCATGTGTAAAAACCAAATGTATCAAGAATGGCCTCTGGAAATCCGATCAGACAGGAGGAGGGTAAGAACAAGCTATGGAATGGCTCCATTATTTCTTGTCATCTTTGTTGATAATCGAATAACCAAACAGTCCTCTCCCAATTCACTGGATTTTGAAGCATATGAAAATAAAATGCCAAAATCCTATCAGAGAGAATCTGAACATGAGACAGGGCACCCAGCAGAAACAAAAGAAATTCTACAAGTGATGAAGAGATGGAAGACTCAGATAGCTTGCATGGGAGTGTTCTCTTCATAAGACAGGAAGCTTTGGATCTAGATAAAGAAGGCAGAGTAGTTATTGCCTGGTCTCAGCCATCGAGATAAAAGCAAGTGGGTACACTGAGATATTGCAAGCAAAATATTACTGCTCATTGAGGTCTCTGTCAGAGAGCAGACAAAAGCTCAGGGAAGTGATAACCTTGCGACTGTCCCATATCAGGCCCTGAAATGAAAATGGCAGCTAAGGTTGGATTGGAGAACCTGGAGGAAATCTGGTACCGGCAAACCATGGGTTGATCTAAGGGCAGGAAACAAGGGGAGCAATAAAACCAAGTGTTTCAAAGTAGAAAGAGACTGTTGGTGATGAACTGTGGAAAGGGATTGGGGAGAGTAATCTTTTATTCTTTCTGAATGCTGACAGCCAATGTATCATATCCAGGTTTCCTGATGTTATAGTGATAACAAAGGCAAAGCAATAATGAAGACAAAGCAAATTTAAAAAATTACTTTGTTACTGTGGTTGGCAAAGGCAGATGTGATGCAGTGCAAACATATGGTGTAGACCAGTGTGACAAGAGAAGAGGGAGAAACGTGAGAATCCCAGAGGAATGGACAAAAAACAAAGACTACCGTGGATATTTTGGCAAGTAACACACAATTGAAACAAACACAATTGAAAGTATTCAGAGGTCTTGGTTCTTTTCCAGAAAAGAACCCGTTATTCTTTATCATTATGTCCGCAAGCATGTGTAGACATGAGGGGATCCCCAAAGCCAAAGATGGCCCAGAGAACCCAGAAATAGCCTGGCTACATGCCACAGAGAACCTCGGCTTCTGAATCCCCCAAGCTTGGTGGTTTCTGTGTGAGGAGACACAGAAATTGCTTGGTGATCCCCAGCAGTGTTAGATTTGAGGTTGGCCCTTTTAGTTCCTGGAAATCGAACATGCGAGTTCATGTATGAACTTGAACTCTGTACACGTCTGAAACAGTGTTTTCCATATTTGGACCACTCACCTCCTTTTCATCTAGGTCTTGGATGGAGGCCTGGCTGGACTCTGAACAATCCCTTTCCTAAATAGCCCCAAACTAGACTTCCAGACTGTACTCCCAGATGGTACCTCTTATTAGTCTCCTACCACAGAATTATCAACTCAAAAATCTCTATCACCAGTGAATATTTACTAGGTGAGTACAAGGTATGGAACCTTCCCATTTACTCTCTGAGGTAGAGGAAAAAGCCCTGAAGCCTGGGAGAAGGATACATTTATAGTTACTTTCACCCTACAGAAAAATCAAGGACACCTCCCTTTCATCATCAACATCATATGTTGAGGGCTGGGGATGTGGCTCAAGCGGTAGCGCGCTCACCTGGCATGCATGCAGCCCGGGTTCGATCCTCAGCACCACATACAAACAAAGATGTTGTGTCCGCCGAAAACTAAAACAAAACAAAAAAAATCATATGTTGAAGATTTGTAGCTCAACTAAGCTTTATATATAATCCATTACCTAATCTCTTTCAATACTACAAGGAATACACTATTGTGGTCCTCACTGACAGACGAAGAAACTGAGGCTCGGTTTGCCTGAGGCTGAGCCATCTATTGGTCAAGCTATACTTCTGCTTAAAATCTTTTTCTCACTGGACACAGTAGAGCATGCCTGCAATCTCAGTGGTTTGGGAGGTTGAAGTAAGAGGATCATGAGTTCAAAGCCAGCCTCAGCAACTTTGTGAGGCTCTAAGCAACTTAGCAAGACCTGGTCTCAAAACTAAAAAAATAAAAAGGGCTAGGGATATGGCTTAGTGATTAAGTGTCCTTGGGTTCAATCACCAGTATCAGAAAAAAAAGGTATTTCTCCTTTTCACCTGATTTTTTCCCCCTAGATAAAAATGTTATGAGTTTCCCTACAGGCATGGGCTAGATACTTATGGATGTCAGTAAACACTTGTTCCAGTAATTGGAATGAGCTCCCTGGTGCTCACAGTGGTGTTATGAATTCTTCGGACCCATGGAGCCTGTCGAAGGATTTTACCTTCATCACTTCTTTGATGAGCCTTGTCCTTCAGTCAGCCGGCCAACCTGCTTGTTGTGTTGTATGCAGTAATAAATACTTTTCAAGTCTCAACCCCCGCGCCACAGTCACCTAGTGTGAGGAGGGCAAGTCCTCATTATCTGGCAACTCAGTGCTTTATCCACAGTGGGAGTGGACATATAACACTCAGAGGCACAGGCCGCCAGCTTGACTCGGTATCTTGGCACTCTTTATGATTGTCTCAGAAAAGCTGGATCCAAAATGTACATCTGCTTTGGCCAGTCAGAGAGGAAACAGCTTTTGGTTAGCTAATTAATTGTGTTTTCATCAGCAGCAGATGATTCCATTTTATGGTGATGGCTTGAACACAAGGGTCTGGATTCACGTTTTTTACATTTCTAGGCGATGACAGTAGGTCCTTTTACGTCCAGCCCAGGTGCCATCCTGTCTGATGAGGTCTTTTTAATGAAGAGGATCTCATCTCTCTAGCAGACTTCAGAGCTGCCTAAAGAGCTGTCTTAGAATAAGCACTATACCCAGAGGTCGTTCTAGACGAGTAGTAAATGGCTTCACCATGATGCACCAGGCACATACTGAAGGATACAAGATGTAAACAGGCATGAACTGCTCTTTAGGAGATAGTTGGGGTGTGTGTGTGTGTGTGTGTGTGTGTGTGTGAGAGAGAGAGAGAGAGAGAGAGAGAGAGAGAGAGATGAGGAGGACAGGATGGTAAGTAAGATTTATAAACCAAAGCAGTGGCAAAACAATTCAAAATAATGTGTGTTCAAAGGCTGAGTTCAGAGGTAGGGGAGATCAGTTTAGACCTATAAGTTCTTGAAGGATGGAAGAAATTTCAGAGAAACGAAGAGGGCCTGTGGGAGGAGCAATGAGCACAGAGGCAGGGGGATGGCAGGGAGAGGGTTAAGCCACTTATGGTCTAGTCTGGGCAGTGAGAAGACAGTATTGCAGCTGGGGATCATGTTGGGGAATCTGGTGTTCCCTGCTCCCAGCATTTCCCAGAGCCTTTGTGGTATTACTGACCGGTATTCCCACTGTACCTTGCGTATAGATCTCCCAAGCTACTTCTGACACTTGATTGCTTTTATCCATTTATACCTGCATTCCCGCTTTCTAAACAATAATCTCCTTAACACTGAGGCCATGGTGTGTTTGTCTTTGCCTGGCACAGACATGCTTAATGAATGCGTGTTGAACAAATGAATGAATGGAGACATCATCGGAGGCAAGGCTGAATGAGCAGGCTGGTTCTAGAATGAAATATGCCGTGCATGCCAGGCATTCTAATAAATTCTGCCTTCGGACGACTAGGTGTGGCATCTGGGTCTATCCTTGATTGATCTAATCATTTGTATATTCCACAAAGATTCATTGAAAGCCTACTATGTTCCAGACATTTATAGGATCTTAGGAAACAACAATGATAAAACAGAAGACATCCTGCCAAGGTAGAGCTGTTGTTCCTGGGGAGATACAGATAATCAGGACTGCTACATAAATTCGTGGGGTCTAGTGTAGATTAGAAGTGTCTGGCCTCTTGTTCACACAGCAGGGAAGAGTGTTGTGAAAGGTAAGAAGCAGAAGGTTGGGGCTGTAGCTCAGTGGTATATATATGAAGCCCTGGGCTTAATCTTCAGCAATTCCTGCGTGCCTGCCAAAAAATGTACTATACTACAAAGCTTTATTCCCTGCAGCTTCCCTCTCAAACTGTGGAGTCTTAACTCACTATTTATGTCCTTATAAAAAATATATTGTTTTACCATTATCACCATGAATTTGATATTTCATCTTAATAATGCGCAATGCCAGTTTTAAATGCAAAATAAGAGCATTTAATAAAATCACATAGTTTCTATTTCTTATACTTATAACTTATACTTGTGTATGGACTTAATTTTCACCAAAACAGTGGAAGTTGCATTAAGCTAATTCAATTGCTTTTATTTCATTCTTTGACGTATAGCATTCTACCAACACTCTCTACCTTTGGCTAACCGATGAGTAGAGCAGAGGTAGGGAATAGGGGAGGGAGGAGGGGAGGGAAAGGGGAGGCACAGGGGAATGAAGCAGGCCAAATGTGCTATATGCAGGAGTGAATATACTACAATGAATCCCATTATTATGTATAATTATAATGTATCAATAAATAAAATGAAATAAAATAAAAGATAACCCCATTGAATGCAGGAAAAAAGGGAAAGTCTGAAAGGAAAAGAACTATGGGTTAACTTCTCTTTCTTTTTCCTTTTTTCCTTCTGTCATAATTATCAGGGTGAGTGACTGTGTGTTTTGTGTGTGTGCGCGTGTGTGTGTGTGTGTGTGTGTGTGTGTGAGAGAGAGAGAGAGAGAGAGAGAAAGAGAGAGAGAGAAAGAGGGGGGCGGGCTGAGGTGCTGACAGTCCCCAGAGGCTACACCAGAATTTGCTTCAAATGCAGGAAGAACACAACAATGTTCCAAGATACATGAATGGCCAAGGAATCCTCTCACATCCTTTCAGACTGGTGTTACTTCCCTGTACTATATTAGGATTTGGTTGGAATGTGCCCTTCTTGAAGCACTGTGCATTTAAAAAGAACCACAAAACCTTTGACCTGCTTTTCCATTTTGTCTTTTCCAGTATGCTTCTTCCTAAAAAGTGAATTTTGAAAAACTCAGAAGAGTCATGCAAATGTTCATTAGCAAAGCTTAGACCCAGGGTATGTGTTCACTTCCAAAGCTTGGTAATATAGAAGTGAAAGATTTGTCACTAAAAATAATATGTGTGCTTGTGCTTTTGTGACAAGGTCACTGGGGTGCTGTGAGGGTACATGACAGTGTGTGTGTGTGTGGAGGGGGGTGAGTGCGAGTCACCTCAGGGTAAGGCGCCAGTGGGGACATGTGGTAAGCGTTTGTGTGAACATGTGATGTGGGTGTGGTATTTGTGGCCTGTGCTCTGTGTGTCTGTGTGGTTCGTGTGTAGGATCTGTGCTGTGTTTGTGTTTGTAACATGAAATGAATATTATTTTATGTTTTCCATCTCCTTTTTCTTCCAGTCCATGTAGCCCATGTTTTATGTTCCCCTAAAACACCAGTCTGTTCTCATGTTCGCCTAAGTAAAATAACATGCAGCTTTTTGACATTCACAAACAAAACCCATGGTTTTCATCTGAGTCAAGTGTTCCCCGGGGCTTTGGGCTTTTTTTTCTCCCCCCGCCTTCTTTTTCCTGTAAATCCATTTTATGCGTTGGAGTTAGAAGATGACATCTTGTTACATCATGTTAGACAGCACCATAATTTTTTCCAGCAAACCATTTCCAATCTGGCTGAGCAGACAGAAGTGAACAGAGACAGACAACCTGGCTTAAATAAAGGATCAGCTATGGCCCTTCAGGATGGACCCAGAGGAGCCCTGTTCCCAAATGTGAGGCTGACTTATTTTAACTCCTTAGATTGGAGATGGAGAAATCTCTGCAGGCTCACAGCTATTGCAGTGATATACTGCAGTCTTTCTCTGCCTGAGATGAGGATGCCTGCTGGGGGGAGGGGTGTCTCTGCAGGGGAGGAAGTGTTGGGCGAGATGGATGCTTTGCCTGAGGTCCCTTCTGTACTATGCACAGGTCAGGCCTGTCTTGTGCTCTTCAGCTGCAGCTGCTATTTATAGCTCTGTCTCTGTTTGCTATTCTGCCTGTGACCCCTGTGGTCAGCTCAAGGCCCTTGTTTAAAAAGAACTTGAGCTGTTCTCTGCTCAAACTGAGGCCCACTCCAGAGACTTTCCATTAGCAGTCTTTGTTCTGAAACTCAGTGACAAGGGCTCCCTGGATGCCCTCCCCAGGCCCTGACTGGGTGTCTGGGTTCCTGCAGTCCTGCTACAGATCTATACTTGCAGCCTATTGTATGCAGAGAATTTGTTCTGGGTGGGAGTTGTGTTGTGTCCCTCATACACTGTGAGTGATCTGCCTAAGTGACACTTCCAAATGAATGTTACCATGTCAGTGTTTGGCTCACTAGCTGTGCTGTTTGGATAATTAAGGCACAAAACCTTAGGATCTATAAAGTCAGGGGATTTGTAAGAACACTGGGCTGAGAATCAGGTGATCCAGATTTGAGCCATAATTTCAAGCTATGAGGGCCTGGACAAGTCAGAAAGTCTCTGAGCTCCCCCTTCCTACATGTGAAGAGAATTCCGGACTCACGGGGATGCTGCGAGGACTGAGATGGGATCATTGCCTGTGTGGAAGTCATCTGGAAACTTCTCCACTCTCATCTACTATTTCAACTTGTCATATTTCTCAGAAGAATGTGGCAAGAAATTGAGGACGGAAGGGAGTGGAGGTGTTCTGCAGATAACAGAGAAAAAAATTTCTATGTGTATTCAATTGGCTGCTAAAGACAGATAAAAATTGATTTTTAATTATAGATTAAAATTGATTTTTTTAAATTGAGGTTGAGAGTTAGCAAGTATTTGTAAGTTTAACGTAAGTCAATAAAGATTAATTAAGCATAGATTACATGTCAACCAATAGAGTCAGCACCAGACATATCAAGAAAAACAAAGAAATAAAACAGGGTGATTCTTATCACAGAAAAAAGGGAAAATAAAACAATACAGAAAAAGAGATAATCCAGAACTCAATTTCATCATATAAACTTAAAATTTGACAAATAAAAGAATAAGAAAAGATTATTTACTAATTATTGTGAATGTCACTGGTCATACATTTGGAAAATGATTTATTTAGATCAATATTTTATATCATATCATAAAGGAAGTGCCAATTGGATTAAGAATTATATATAGATAGACAAATTATTAGACAAAATCCGCCCCCCCCCCAAAATAATCAACATTGAGACTTTACCTGATCAGTGGAGATAACTTCTTAATTCTGAAGCAATAGAAGAAATCAACAAGATTGACAGGCTCAAATAAATATTTTAAGCACCCTCAAATAATGAAAATGGCTCACTGTAATATAAAATGCTAGTAGAAATTTGGAGAGAGATTTTATCAATCGTGACAAGGAGTATATACTGATACTTTATAAATTAGTCATTAAAAATACATAATGAAGGCAGGGGATGTAGCTCAGTGGTAGAGCACCTGTGTGACATGCATGAGGCTCTAGGTTGGATCTCCACCACCACAAAAATGTGTGTGTGTGTGTGTGTGTGTGTGTGTGTAAAACATCAAGATCTCAACAGAGGGTTGAAAAAGCAAAAAGGACAACTAATTTATTATGTAGAAACTGTAGATTGCCTACACACTCAAAGAAAAAAGTATATCTTTATATTCAAATAACTGTAGATTTAAGCAAATTGAAGCACCAATTTACATATTTAAGTCAGGAAAAGTTAAAATGTGACATCCAATGATGGTCAGATTATGGGCCACACTAGAGAGTTACAAATTATTGGTGGCAGTGTGGATTCTTTTAACCCGTTTGGAAAATAAAAACTACAATGCATATCAAAATCTATGAAAATATTTATACCCTGTGCGCTGAATCTCTCTCTCGAAGGATTTTATCATGGGAGATAAAAAGAAAGAAATCAAAAACAAAAATGCTACAAGAAAACTGGGTGTGGTGGCGCACACTTCTAATCTCAGTGGCTCGGGAGAGTGAGGCAAGAGGATCCTGAGTTTAAAGTCAGCTCAGCAATAGTGAGGCACTTAACAACTCAATGAGACCCTGTCTCTAAGTAAAATACAAAATAGGGTTGGGGTTGTGGCTCAGTGGTTGAGTGCCCCCTGAGTTCAATCCCTGGTACCAAAAAAAAAAAGCTACAAGATAAACTTCATGTTTTATATAATAGAATGAAAAATGAATTAAATGCTCAACAAAAGAGGCATGTTAATGATTATGAAATTTTGATAATAATAGGCAAGTATTAAAATAATGGCAAGAGGGTTGGTAAATAGAAAACGTTTATGATAAAATAATACAAACTTGTAAAAGTCAACACTGAACAAATATAATAATTATAATTATGTAGAGTGAGTTATATATTTTATCAAAACCAGAAGAATTGAAGTATTATGTAAAAGTGTGAAAATATTTATATTAGAGTATTGCAATTATGATGTTTGGTAAATAAAGAAAGATTCCTACACCCAGTACAGTGGCACGAACCTATAATCCCAGTAACTTGGGAGGCCAAGGCAGAAGGATCACATGATTTAGGTGAGCCTGGGTAGCTTAGCAAGACCCTGTCTCAAAATTTAAAAATAAAAATAAAAGGGCTGGGGATGTAACTCAGTGATAGAATGCCTCTGGGTTCAAACCATAGTCCTAAAATAAATAAATGAATGAATGAATAAATAAATAAGTAAACAATATTCCTTAATGGTGTTGTAGGGATTTCTTTTTTTTTTTTTGGCAGTGCTGGGAGATGAACCCAGGGTCCTGTGCATGCTAGGCAAGTGCTCTACCACTTAACTATATCCCCAGCCCCTGAAAAATAATATTTTTAATATATATTTTTAGTTGACAAGTAAGTTATATGTATTTATGGTATACAACATGATGTTCTGATATATGTACACAATGTGAAATGACTAGGTTAAGCTAATTAGTATATACATTACTTCACATACTTTTTTTTTAGTGATGAGAATATTTAATATCTACCCTCTTAGAAACTTCCAAGTATATAATATGCTATGTTTAACTGTACTCAGCATAATACATAATAGATCCCTTGAACTCTTCCTTCTAATTGAAATTTTGTGTCTTTTGACTGATGTCTCCCCAATTCCCTTATCATATCATCTCCCTTCCTCTGGTAATGACCATTTTATTCTGCTTCTATAGGTTTGGGATATATTAGATTATGTGATATTTGTTGCCCTGTGCCTGACTTATTTCACTCACTATAATGTCCTCCACGTTTATCCATGTTTCAAATGTGATGAGATTTTCTTCTTTTTTCAAGGTTGAATTCCATGGTATACATACACCACCTTTTCTTCATCATTCCTCCATTGACAGACACTAACATGGTTTCCATATCTTGGCCATTGTGAATAGTACTGCCATGGACACTGGAGTGCAGGTATCTCCCTGACATACTGAATGCACTGCCTTTGCAAAAATGTGCCCAATGGTGGTATTGCTGGATCTTGTGGTAATACTATTTTTGATTTTCTGATGAACTCCCATACTGTTTTTCATAATGGTCGCACCATTTACTTTCCTACCAAGAGAGTACAAAGGTTCCTTTTTCTCATATTCTCACCAACTCTTCTTATCTTTTCTCTCTTTTGTTTTTAATTTTTAATTTTACTATAGCCACCCTAACAGATGTGAGACAGTATCTCATTGTGGTTTTAATAGCCATTTCCCTAACCATGAGCAATACTGAGCATTTTTCATATACTTGTTGGCCATTTGTATGTCTTCTTTTGAGAAATGCTTCTTCAAGTCCTTTGTCCACTTTTTCTTAGTATTGAATAGAGTTCCTATATGGATAGGGGGGAAAACAGCAAAAAGAAGACAAAAAAAAAAATCCTTCCCATATTGATCTGCATTTCAATTCCAGATGTATTCCTCTTTTAGTTCTTGATGTTTCTATTTTGACCTGCTGTTTGTGGACAGATTTTTCCAATTGCCCAGCCCCAGCTCCTCCACAGTTCAAAATCCAATTACCTGGCTGCCTATTGGCTTTCAGATGGAGCTTTTTGTTGTCACTACCATAGTAGAAAACAAGGAAGGGAATATTTTCCTCCCATCACAGCAACACTAAGAATCCCAGACTCCCTCTTTTCATTCTCTTGGAGCACGCATCTAGGCCCCATGGTGTCTACTACAGCCCAGCACATGCATCCAGCCCCTGTCATGTGCTTGGCCATTTCAGGATAGTGAAAGAGCTCAGAATAGCTATTTATGAGTACACAGTCTCAGCATTTGCAATTAGCTTGGAATAGGCTGGAAAAAAAAATATAAGTGCTTTCTCTCATTCTTCTTCCTTTTTATTTTCTGGTTTCTTTCTTAGAGCTAACCCTTGAGTCACTGTTCTTTTCTCTAAGTTGATTTTATGTATACTTGCAAATAAATTCAGCAGCCTTTAGAGGTATAAATTGTTCCAGACTCACTGCTTACGAAGATGACCAAGACACAGTCCTTCATCTCAAGGAGCTTGCTATCCAGACAAAACACAAATTAAACCAACCAAAAAAAATTTTTTTCCCCTATATATGTGTTAAGTTCCAAGTTCTATGCCTGGTAGTACACTCTGAGTACATAAAGTGGGGTTCATTCCAATCTGGAAATTCAGGGATGGCATGAGTGGGGATTAGCTAGACAAAGAAAGGTGAGGAGGGGTAGGGTGGGTGGGGTGGGAAGCAGTGGGGTGGAGGATGCTAGAGACAGAGGAATGGTATTAACCAAAACCTGCCTGAAAGACATAAGCACAGTGGGCTTGTGGAGAACTACTTTTCAGCTTCCTGGCACTTTTGAAAAAGCAAATTATTTTAGTATCTGAAACCAGGATCCATCCCTTTTGGTCCTGTTAATCATCCTGTGATGGTAGAGAAGAGCTTCTCTCAAACAGCATGCCTGAGCTTCTCCGCAGTTCTTGGTCCACTTTTTCACGGCTGTTCCCCTCCCTGGTGCTTCTGCCATTGCTCTTTCCTTCTCCATTCTCCCCAAGAGTGTTTGTCCTTACTACATCCTGGTCTCCAACCCCACATGTGTGTGTCCATGGACTGAGTTTGGTCAGGCAGAGAACAGAATTCTCTCCAAAGTTGTTCCCAATGTCTGTGCTGAGCAAGAACCTGCGGACAGTGAACGACTCATTTTTATTTATTTAACTTATGATAGATTCTTACCAGTTGTGTGTGTCCAGTTGTGGAGGGCTGCAAAGTCAGCATTTTTCTCCTATCAGTTCATGGGAACAACCACAACGTTTACCTGCTATCTTAGGTTTACACTATTGTTTTAAAAGCCCAAGGAATTTCCATTTGTGAAAATATTCAAGTCTGAATATTGTTAACTTTTCCTGGATGGATTCTGAGATATGTAGGAGGAAGTCAGGTAGAGGAAATCAGTGTGTTTTAAAAGATCTTGGCATTATCTGTTTCCCATGTCTGAGTAATCACGTATTTTAAGTGATGAATTCAAGAAATTCAGTTTAAAAAAAATAAGAAGGACTTGATTTCTGACAAGAGTGCTAAGACCATTCAATGGAGGAAGAATAGTCTTTTCAGCAAAAGGTGCTGGGGCGACTGGATGTCCACGTACAACAGAATGAATTTGAACTCCCACCTCACACCCTATAAAAAATTTACTCAAAATAAGTCAAAGACTTAGTTGTAAAAACCAAAACTCTTAGAAGGAAACATAGGTATAAATCTTTAGGACCTTGGATCAGGCAAGGGTTTCTTAGATATGGTACCAAAACACAAGCAAAAAAAAAAAAAGCGAGAAGAGATGTCATTAAAATTAAAGAATTTTTTGTATCAAAGGGAACTTGATACACTTCTGGGTTATAGCATGTATTCTATTGTATGAGATAATACTCATAGAAGAAAAGAAAAAATTTTCAAGTAATATATCTGATAAGTCTCATATTCTGTGCTGGGCGCAGTGGTGCACACCTGTAATCCCAACTACTTGGGAGGTTAAGGCAGGAGAATGAGAATCACGAGTTCAAAGCCAGCCTCAGCAAAAGCAAGGTGCTAAGCAACTCAAGGAGATCCTGTCTCTAAATAAAATACAAAATAGGGCTTGGGCTGTGGCTCAGTAATTGAGGGCCCTGAGTTCAATCCTCAGTACCTCTCATCCCTGCAAAAAAAAAGTCTATATTCTGAATATACATCTAACTCTTACATTCAACAACAAAAAGATACACAACCCAATTTTCAAATGGGCAAAGGAAGTGAATAGGAATTTCTCCAAAGAAAATATACAAATGGCCAATAAGCACATGAAAATATGCTCAACATCATTAGTCATCAGGGAAAAAAAAGCAACTCAGAAACAAAATTAATTGCCTTTTGGTTTTCACATCCATTAGGATAACTGTAATAAAAACAGAAAGTAATAGAAAATCATAAGAATTGGTGAAGATGTGAAATCAGAATCCTTGTACACTGCTAGTAGGGCTATAAAATGGCACAGCTGCTATGGAAAACAGTTGGGCAGTTCCTCAAAAAGTTAAACATAGAATTACCAACAGCCCTGCATTGCCACTCATAAATACATACACAAGAGAATCGAAAACATATGTCCACATAAAACATTCATGTGAATGTTTACAGCAGCATTATTCATAATAGTCAAAAGTAGAAGCAACTCAAATGTCCCGTCTACTGATGAAGGGATAAACAATGTGTTATCTCATTCAGTAGAATATAAAAAGAAAGGTGTTACACAATAGAATGCATGCTATCTCATAGAATAATACATGCTACTACATGGATGAACCTTGGAAACATTATGCTAAGTGTAGAAGACAGACACACAAGGCCTCATACTGCATAATTCCATTTATGTGAACCGTCCAGAAGAGGTGAATCCATAGCTTTTTCCAGAAAAAAAAAAGTAGGTTAGTAGTTCCTTAGGGCTGGGGCAGGGAGATGGAGACGAGGTGCTTAATAGATACAGGTTTCTTTTGAGGAAGATGAAAATATTCTAAAATTAGATAGGAACAATGGCTGCACAACATTCTGAATATACTAAGAAAACACTGAATCATGCATTGAAAGTGGTACATTTTATGTTATCTGAGTTTTATCTCAAAGGAAAATGAAAAGAACAAGGAGGTCCTGTATACTTCACTGCACTAGATTTCAGCTAGCATTTGGGACACTACTGTGGCCAGAACTGATAGATAACAATTTGAGAAGCACATTTTATGCTGGGTTCTTGGCTGGAATGGGTGGGGAAAAGTACAAATAAGATGTAGATTCTCTTCTCAAGGTTCTTGTGCCATGCTGGAGGATGTACTTACACTTCATTAACTAGAACTCAACCTGAAGATAGTAAGTGTGATGGTGAAGAAAGATGGCCCTGTTGGAGCACTGGAGGAGTGGCTTATTCTGATGAAGGAATATGGTAAGCTCTTGCAGAAGAGGGGACATTTGAACTGGATTTTCAAGCATGAGTAGGAATTTGACACACAGAGAAAGTGGTAGAAGGCATTCTAGGCAGCAGGACCCGCTTGAGCAAAGGCCTAGAGGTATGCAGAGCATTTTGAAGTTTGTCACCTTACTAGATGGCATATTTGAACTCTGGGCTCCCTCTCCTTCTAACACTCTGCCAGTGATTTTTATTAAATGTCACAACTATTATCCACTTTGATTCTTGGTTCTTGTCTCACACAAGAACCTTAGACTGAGAAACAGAAATGTTCTTGAGCCTCTATGGGCTTTGGCAGGGTTCCCATAGTTCCCTTGCTCTGTCCACATCCTGCCTGTGGTTGTCTGAGCACCTGGAACAGATTGGGCACACAGTTCTGCTCCTACACTCAGCTGCTCCACCCTAGGATTCCCCCTTTGCTGCAATGACTAGATCCATCCACCTGCCAGACAGACGGCTCTCGTTCTCTCTCCAAGAGGCTCTGCTCAATGCAGAAGGAAACCAGAGGGAGGAGAGGAAACCCATCCCATTCTCCAGGGAAGAGTCGTCCCATCTGGCCCCCTTGGCAGCCAGCTGCATTTGGCTTCTATTTGAATGGTGAACCTGTTGCTGCGAGGTGGGGTGGAGGGACAAGGGATCCCTGAGGAGTTTGGCGCTTAATGAATTGTCCAGTAAGGAGTGCTAGGCCGGAAGGAAAAGCAGATTTTCAGTCTGGAGCCCTGAGGCTCCTAATGCCTCCCAGATGAAAAGCTAACAGAGTGCCCCCCCACCCCCACTCCCTGAGAGTGTGCATGCTGACATTTGCTCCCCGGTGCCCCAAGCATAAGCCTGTTTTATTGTGTTTACCATTTTGTGTCTTCAGAGCATAACTGATGTGTTGCAAACACGAGTGCCCTGGACAGCAGAGCCAACCCTCAGCAGCCTTTCCCTGAAGCAGAGATGATCCGCCCATGCCAGAGACCCAGTGGGATGAACTAGTCAGTGTTCCCAAGTCTCATAGCTTATGAGAGATCAGGACCCAGAGACATCTGGTCTGGGGCAGCTCAGTTCAGGATAGAATATTGCCCTGCCAGAGTGGATCACAGCACACGACACCTGTGTGCCTGCCTGAGACCTGGCCTGTCCTGGGACCCTGAGTAGCAGGAAGGAAGATCAAAACAGCAAATAAACCTCCCCAAAATCCAGACAAAAAGAGACATGGATTTAACATTGACTTCTTTTTTTTTTTAAAGAGAGAGAGAGAATTTTTTAATATTTATTTTTTAGTTCTCAGCAGACACAACATCTTTGTTTGTGTGTGGCGCTGAGGATCGAACCCGGGCCGCACGCATGCCAGGCGAGCGCGCTACTGCTTGAGCCACACCCCCAGCCCCTAACATTGACTTCTTTAACCATGTTGATACTTTTTTTTTTTTTTCCAAACCCACAAGAACTCAACTCCTATTCCATTCTCTTAAGTTCTCTGTGGGTTAAATGCTCTGACAGTATAGACAAGGACCAGATGTGCAGTGTATGGGTCAGCCTGTACTGGGAAGGCCAGGAGGAGGGTGGGAGAAGTGGGCCTGAATGTCATTACTTGGAAGGGTCAGGGGGTCAGTGACAGTGGCAAGAAACAGATTTTTCCAGCTGCTTTTGGGTTGAGATCTGTACTGCATAATCTGAATGCTTTTATCTGTTTCTGAAAATAGACAGGAATTTTTTCCACAGGCAGCTCCAATCTGGCCGTGGAGACGTGAGGGAGGATCGTAGGGAGACAGTTGTATGTAGTCCAGTAGGTTTGTTTTGTGACCCCCTCTCCCCCTCTAGTCCTTCCCCACACTGGCTCTATGGAGCCACATTATCTTAATAGCTCTTGAAGTAGGGAGTCAGAAATGCTGGAAATAGTTTCCATTAGGAATTGTGTATCGCTTCTGATATACCAAGCTATCGTTTCTTACTTTTGCTTAAACAGACAGGACAAAAGCCCTTCCTGATGTCAGAAGCACCTACCCAGATGGAATGGTTCCTCAAGTCTGTATAGAAGGACAAACATGGGAGACAAATGAGGCAGAAAGAAGAAAATGACCAGTTCTACAAACACCTTTGTCCTGGATTTAGACTATAAAGAAATATCACAAGTTATCTACAGAGATCTTCTGGAAGGTTAACTCTGGATTAAATCAGACTCCCTCTCTCAGCAGCTGGTCCCTCTCATGAAAGATCAAAAGGACCTTGAACCTTCCAAGTGAACTGTCAAGCAAACAGCAGGAAGATCTCTAATATTATTTACATAGCATTTTCTTTTTCCAGTTGTGTACCAGTTTCTTCTTGTTATAAGCCTATCTTTTAAAGTTGAAATCAAGACACAGAAAAAAAAAAGCAATGTTAAGAATCATGTAGAGAACTGGGAAAAAGACAAGGGCCTTTTAACCCACAGATAAATGAATCTAGATACCACCTCTGCTTATTCCAGCAATCCTTTTCAATGGCCAATCACCCATCTTACCAAGAGCAAGAAGGTATTTGTGCTGAACATGCAGTAAAGCTTAACAACTTTGGTTTATAGGAGACTGATATGAGCCTTTGAGGCTGAGAAGTTCAGAAAGCTTATTTGCAAGGTTCCTGTAAGGTAAGACCTCACTATGAATGGAAGCTAGATAAATGCTAGATTGTTCTGAAATGCTTCCAACATTCTGTGTCTAAGACTCTTTTTGTTGTTCTTATAACCCAAGAGCCCCATGGTTAACTTAGGTACCACTGAGGAGGAAAAAAGAGCAGAACTGTGAGCTCACCTACTGCAGCCACCATTCTTTCAGAGCTCTCTTCTTGAAGGCTGCATCTAGGAACAGCAATTTGTGAGTCACTTTCTTAATGACATGGTTCTTTTAGCACAGACCATGCAGGGTGTCAAGTGGAACATCTTGTTTACCAGCCCTTCAGGGCCCCCACACATCAAAGTCTATGGGGAGGTGACTTCAATCAGCTGTGTGTATAATGCTTCGATTCTTGCCAATTGTCAGATACCTGGTCATAACGGAGAGGAAAGAAAGGAAAGAAAGAGTTCACAAAGAGATGCGTGAGAGAGCAGTTGGAAAGAAGAAAAAAAAAGACCTAAAAAGATCCTAATGGGAGAGAGGTAACAGCTTTTGAAAGTAATAGGGCATGCCAAAGGGAAAGGGAGAAAAGGAATTTTAGTGAATAGAACAGACTGTACACTGGTGTCTTCACTCATTACACCTCATACCTTGTGAAGGACCTGGACAAACAATCTGACCCTTCCAGAGACCTTCCAACACAAAGCAACATGGGGCTTCAAAGCAAAGAGGAACAGGAAGTTGGTTAGTTTCAGGTGCATAGAAAGAAAACTGGTGTCGGACTCACCCCACACTACAGGATGTACACAGAGAAGCTTGCAGATCAGGTCATCTGGTGGTGATTCACGCAAAACTGATTTGGTGGCTCCTGGGGCCAGGAGGTTTCCCACATTATTCCTTACTTTACTGAGCTCAGCTTGAGATGGGCAGAGTTGCAGCTCTTTTATAATAATAAATAATATTATAGAAAGTAAAAATGGAGTGCAGAGATGGAAAAGACTTTTAAAAGGGTGTGCAATATAAGAAAAGCAAACAAACAACATGCAGTGTTCTTCTTGGCCATCAGGGGCATAGGGTGTGGCAAAAAGCACTTGAGCTTTGGCAACTGAAAATTGTCAGCTTACACTTACATTTGCTTTTAGTGATCTTGAGCAATTCGTTTAATGTCTTTGATCCTCAGTTTTTTATCTGTACAATGGGAAAAGAGTCCCTACCATGTACGGTACTTTTATGGGCAGGTGGTGTGATGTGCACGGTATCTGGCATTTGGTAGCAGATTGGTGTTAGTTGTTATTATTCTACTGTCAGCTTCCACCAGCAGTGTGAGGACTAATTTCTTTAGAGAGCATTTTTCTATTTTTCTATGACCTCACTCATATATTTGTACTGTGGAAAGGAGCTTTAAGATCATTTGGTCCAAACCATTTCCTTGTTTTGGTTCAGAAAGGTGGGTGGTAGATACGAGGTCAATTGGGTGCAGAGCTGGGATTGGGGCACCTGGCTTTCTAGGCAATACTGCATCCTCTGCATCTGCCTGCCTATTTGTACAAGTGATCCTGATGGTCTCCGAACATAGATCAGTGTGTTTTCCTGCAAAACTGTTGACGCACAGTCCTTGTCTGTGATAACTCTTCAGCAGAAAAGATAAAGTAAAAAGGAATGAACCAGAGGTCTTCCCCTTGGTTCTTCCCCCATCCCTCTACCACCCCAAGTTGTGGTGCAAAGCAGCTCAATGCTCATCTCCTGGATGCTAGCAGAGGGCAGCAGAGGGGCCCTTGCTTGTAAGTGAGCTGGTGTCTCCATCCAACTTTCACATCGGCTTTTTCTGTTTTTCTGAGAGGAGACAGGAGCCTGGATGTGTGTTATGGGATGCTCTGGTGGAATCCATCCAAGGACCATGCAGGAAGTCATCTCAAGCCTCCTTGCCCGTAAGAAGGTTTAAAACTAGCCAGAACCTCAGGGACAGTTGAGCTATTAATGGAAAGTGAGTCAACTCTGAGGCCCTTAAAGACCTATGTAGTATACATGACATTTCCATAGACCTTGAAGCATATCTAGAAAGACTTGTGGAAAGACAAAAGAGGGAGTCAGTTGCATTCCAGGCTGGGGCTGTTTATGTTAGTTGGGGCCAGGCTGGGTAGTTATGCATCTTTATGGAGCTGAGATGTCTGCAGAGGTAGAAGCCAGGAGGGCAGGATTAAAATGAATGGGAAAGGAAGAATCACCACCCCAGACTGTATCCTGAGCAATCTTGCCTTGGGCTTAGTTCAACTGCAGGTCTCCCTTTTCTTTCAGTTGGTAAGAAGAGAATCAGACATGTGTGGGACTGGAGGGAGACCTCTTTTCTGTCCTTGCAAATGCGGGCTCTCATTTCCATGCCTGGGAAAGACTTTCCTTTTGGAAAATGATCTGGAGGTCCTGACTGGGCAGGATGCATTCTGAGATGGGCTCCCAGGCACCCAGGCAGGGGGCCTTCAGGGAGCAGTGAAGCCAGGGCCCTACAGTGTACCTTCCAGTCCAGGACCGGGCTGTGTGGCCTTCACCATGGAGTGCCTGTGTTTAGAAAGGGCAGGTTGAACCAGTGGGGGTGTTAGGGAGCCCTTTGTAGGCCAAGGGCTCACTTCATCTCCAGTTATGCTACATGGGAAATGAAGAAAAGGGGGGTTTCTATTTTTTTTCTATGACAAGTGACAGTTCTCCAGGTGACCAACCCCCTGCCCTGCTTCCCTCTTTATATTCACCTAAGGGTTCAAGCTCAGGGTCTGCAGTTTGGGAGGAAGGCTGTAGCCTACCCCTCCCCTTTATCTACACACACACACACACACACACACACACACAAGAAGCTTTCCTCTCTTGACTGACTCTATCAGCCCAGCCTCATTTCCTTCCAGGCAGAGCCCTTGGAGCCCCAGGCCAAGCTGGTGTTGCTCTAAATATAACCGCGTCCGAAGTGATGAATGGGGAGGCATTTGCTCTCCTTTTCCTGCCTCAGCGTTGGGCCTGAATCATGTTGGGAAATGACATTCTGTTAACACAAGCACTTTTGTTTCCTCCTGTGCTCTCTCACCATCCGGTGGGGGCCCTGGCCAGGACTGGCTTTCAATTTTTAAAGTCTCCCTGGGGGTCCATTCAAAACCCCCATCCAGTGACATTAAGGAAAGCCATAGACAAAGAGAAATGGAGAGAAGCATCCTGTGCCTCCCCTGGGGATGCTAGGACGTGCTGAGACACAGGTTGCATGGACCCCACCCCCCACCTGAGCTGACCAGACACACCCAAGCTAAGAACCAGCCTTTGCACTCACCACCTGGCTCCAGGTAGCCACTTGATGAATGAATGGAAAATGAAAGGTTCCCAGACATGACTTATTAGCGCTCTGCTTCTATCCGCCGAGTGGCTCTGTACCCGCTGGAGTCAGACCTGTCGGGGGAGCAGGACTCTTATCAGGCAAGGGAAGCATTTGGGGCAACATTTTAAAATTTTCCATATCAGAGACAGTTGAGCTTCTCTTCACCTGGCTCTGAATTCTGTTAGGCCAAGGATCATCTTTGCATCCCCCCTGGTCCCTGATCTTGGTCTCTGGCTCAAAAGAGGTTTTCTTGTAAGTGCTTTCTGGTTCAAATAGAAATAAATAGCACCAAGAGTGGTGCAGAGAGAAAGCTGGAGACAGCAGCCTTTCAAAGAACAAAGGTTGGGGCTTCTGGAATCTAGAGAGAGGACAAAGCCCTTCCATGCGGCCTTGAGCATCGTCTTAGAGCCCCTTCTTCAGCCTGGCTCTGACCCTAGCTCACAGGCCACTTCAGACCTAGTGATTCTCTAAGCAAAGGAGTAGATGGCTCATTCCTCTCCCACTGGCCTCCTGTGAAGCCTTCTAATTCCTGAGCCTCATTTCTGTTCTTCTGCTTGGATTTGTATGGGGTCTTGGTTTAATGGAACTGGTTTAAAATGTCCTTTTTGACCCGCTATTGAACAGATCCTCTTAACCTTTAACTCATTTTTAAACAAAATGACAGAAGCTTTTGGATGAAGTAATAAACCTGTAAATAACCAACCTAAGAAATCCAGATTTTCCAGTACTGAAAGCATTTCATTGTTTGATTGGGTCACCTACACTTGATGGTCACTTCCATCTGTGTATCTGTAAATGTGTAGAAACACAGGGGATGGGTCTTGGTGGGTGTCTACGTGCTACATTACCCAACTTCCTTGCATGTCCCCCTATTCCCAGTCCCTGATCACACACAGGTCTTCCTTGAAAGGAGATGGAGAGCATTTGGCCTAAGACCAAAAGTCTACACTGCTGGGGAGACCAAGAGGGATCCTCCATATTTCAGTGAATAATAGCAGCAGATGATAGCTGTCAGAGGCTGATGTGCACTCCTGAACCCAGGGCCACAGGCATTTGACAGTTGGGGAGCACAGCCTCATTCATGTAAGCAAGAGGCAAAATGGGAGACTCTCTAGGGGAGAAGGGCAGGCAGACATCATGGGAGACTCTCAGAAAAGCAGGAATAAAGAGACCCATTGCCCCAGTGACTCTCACCCTCTGGGGTATCAGAAATTGATGGAGGAGTGGGAGAAATATGGGCATGGGGAGGAGACACTGGCTTCCACTGGGGTTCCACCAACGGCTCTTGCTGTGACTTCAAGTGTCTTCATTGGTCAAATGAGAACACAGGGTTGGTCTCTAATTTCCTTCCATATTCAAAGTTGGAGGAATGGGCCAATAGGAGGAAGAGGCTGAGTAGCCTCTGGGCTCACCAGGCCAGTGGTGAGAGGGCTGAGTGGTTCCTAATAGAAGTCTCCCTCAACTCTTTCAACGTCTCCACTCTCTGTCCATATCTCCTTGTATCAGGTTAATAGTGCTCTTTCTTAGAAGGCCTAAACTCCATCTCAGGGCAGTGATTCTCCCTGAAGTTCCTCCCTCTCTCCTTCTCCTCCTCTCCCAACTGCCTTTGGATCTGGCCTTTTCCTTCTTGACATCTCTGATAACTGAGCAAGCAGGGACCTTTCTCTCTGGCTTCCCTGGGCTTTAGCAGAGACAGTTTGGACTTGACTTCAGCAGTTCCCTGACCACCTGAACAGTGTTCTTCTCAGTCTCCCAGGTGCAGGCATTTTTCCTGAGGTGTTTTTTCATGATTTTAATGTGCCCCCCAAATGTTTAAGTGTTGGAAACTTAATCTTCAAATGCACATGTTGATGGTATCTGGAGGTGGGGCTGTTAGGAGGTAATAAGGGCTACAGGAGGTAATGAGGGTAGGGCCCCCATGATAGCATTAGTGGCTTTATAAGAAGAGGAAGAATGTCCTCTCTTTCTTCCTCTCATCGTGAGATGATTCTGTCTGCCACATTATGTCTCAACAAGAAAGCCCTGACCAGTGCTAGGCCTCTCAGATCTCAGAATCATAAGAAATAAATACATTTTCCCTACATATTGCCCAGTCTCAGATATTCTGTTATGGCAGCAGAAAAAAAACGAAGACAAGAGATGCATCCCTAGGTGTGCATATCTCTTTTCCCAAGCCAGATTCCTCCAGGATATTGGTGCCCTTGCTTGCTCTCCAAACTTTTTTGGGGTCCCTTCCTTGAAGGGCCTGTCCTGGATCAACTCAAACTCATTTGATCTTTACCAATATTTCTCATTTGGACATATGTATGCCTTCTTGGTCTTGCCCCTTCTCCAAGACTTCCATTTTTAATCTTTACTCTAGCTCTTACACTGACCTCCAGGGCTAATGTGGAAAGGTATTGCTAAAGGGAAAGAGACCATGAGGACTGGACCTTCCCTCACCTCAGTTACCTCTATTAAGAAAAGGGTACAATGTAGCTCCAAGTATCTGGGGACCCTTATCCACTACAGGCTAAGGTGGCTAGTCTAGATCCTAAGGGACCATTTTGGATGTTTCCAGAGTACAGCCAAAGCCCATCTCAGGATATTTATATCGTGAACAGAAATTTCCATTGCTGAGCAAGGCTGTGAATGTACATGCTGCTCTTGCTTCTGCCAAGTTCTCTCCGTTTGTAAGAGTCCCC